CCATGGCCAAGTTCATAAAAAACAAAGTAATGTTGTATAATGATTCTTATTATGGTGACTTTTCGCTTGATGTAAGTAATGTGAGCCGTCACGCGGCTCAACGAGCGGAAGAACGAAAAATTCCTGTTGCAGAACTCTTGAAATCGCGAAGTCACATCAATGGATACATTGATAAAGTGGTGAGCAAAACGGGTGTAGTTATCACCGCATATCCACGCCGAATTAATGAACTGCCTGAATATGGTAGACGTTTTGCGTTTCCAAAAGATGGTATTGGTCTATTCATTGGTGAACAACATGCGAATATCAAACTTATCCAAGCTGAATATCAGCTGAAGTCGCTTTATTTTGATGAACATAACACTCTCATTGCCGTCGCACCAACGAGCGATTACGATTGGACATCAGTAGAGAGGATGATTGAAAACGCACGCAAAAGAAAATATAAACCACAGCAGCAGCCATTAGTGAAGAAGAATAACAAAGACAAGTGATTTTTGTATCTGCGTGTCCATCGAAAAGTAACGTAAAACTGCTACTTGGGTAAGAAGCATCAAGGTTTTATTTAACCAAGTGAATTTTCTAATGCTTATAGTCAACAGTATTTGTAACATGCCCCCTTTCTGATTCGATTCTCCAGTCTGTTGTAGTTTTGTATTTAAAAATAAAGAATGTGAATAGAATTAAAAGTAAATTCCAAACGGATATTTCCTGTTTGTTTCATCGTTTGACCAGACGCTCGTGCCACTGTCAACGTTGCTGTGCATAGATGTCTCGAATATGAGAATAAAAAATGCCTCCAATTCTATTTCTGTTTATTCTGATATAAGGCTAGGACATAGAAAAGTGTACCACTGTCAGCGACACTTATCATTAAATGTTATATGATTGCAACCCACACCAACAAAAAATTGAAAATTTCTACTAGATGTTAAGAGAAAGCGCGATAAAAACAATAAACATTTCGTGCTGTCACAGTCAATGAGATCGACATTATATTACGTTTATAACCCAATTAATGTAGAATGGCTTATCACTAGGGATGTTTAGTTCTCGGTTCTGGTTCCTCTAGAGGAACCCAATCGCGGTTCTGGGTTCTAAAGGGTACGAAGAACACGTGCAGCAAAGTACTTTAGTCATTTTCCTGTACTAATGAAACCATATAGCCTGATAGAGTAAAGAATTCTGAGCAAAATAATGTATCTCCCGGCCTATAACGCCTTTTCACCGGTATACTTTGGCACTTTTCAAGCCCTTTGTAGTCATTCTTAAATCCATCGCAGTTTGGCGAAAGAACACTGGCTACAGCCGGGGGATATATTATTTTGCTCAGAATTCTTTGCTCTTTCAGGCTATATAGTTTGAAAAATTTTCTAATCAAAAACCAAAGACTTGATTTTTAAGCGGTCAGGTTTTCCAGAAACCATATTAGTTGATTTTCTCACAATAAGGCGACATGGACCTCATCTGATCAAAAAATCTTCGAGCTATGTAACACAGTATTCTGAATTGTTCCAGCTTTTACTGAAACATCAAAAAGAATGGAGTTTCTATGATTATAACACGCTTTAGTGGATACATAATACCAAAACGCTTCTTTTGCATATCATTAATGACTGACTCGAGCAATCTAGACATTCTGACTAGCTTAGTTTGTAGAGAATTTCCAGGACTATCCAACGGTATATCTTTAAAACATACATAATTTTTCATTAGTACAGGAAAACGTGCGGGATGTCGCAACCTGGTTGAGATACTCTAACTGACTCAGTTTGTAGAGAATTTCAAGGGCTATCGAACACTGTACCATAGAAAAATAAGTAATCTTTTTTGTGAGAAAAACATGCCTGAAAGAGGGCTCTACTGGCGTTTTTGGTACTCGAACGTTTCTTTTGCATGTGTGCGATGACTGGCCCAAGCAGTCAAGATATTGTGACTAGCTCCGAGTGTCGTGCATTTTTGGAGAACACCGGCGGTTCAACGAAATACCACCGGTTGGATTGAACTGTTCGATATACCCTGCGGTTTTTTCTTCAACCGTCGGTTACCGCACGGTAGTTTTCAGACCGCGGTACAAGAAAAAGCCGTCGGTAAGCGGTCTATTTTTGTTGCAAAACGTGTTTTCTCGAGAAAAGCCAAACAATTTCATGATGTTATGTTTGATATAAAAATATCAGATGAATTCAACATAATAATTGATGACACAATGTCAGTTATATAAAATTCAACCCAAGCTGTTTGCGCTCTTATTTGAATTAGTTTAAGAAAAAAAGTGTCGCGATTAAGAAAAAAGGCGTCAAATAGTAGTATGCGCGTTCTTTTGATATTACTTCCGAAAAGTCGGTTTTCTGCTATTCTCGTTAAAGATTGAGTGAAAACCACTCATCTTTCGTAAAACAGTAATTGTTTTAGGTACAGAAAGCGTAAAAATGCATTTCTTACGGCGTACGAATGAAAGCAGATGAAGAGCTGTTTTACTACCGTTAGTGAGCGAATCCCCTAAAAAAGATGGTTAATAAAAAATTTCGAATTCGGGCTTTTAGTTTTTTGGACATTTCTCTTGATCGAGAAATCACAGTAGGCTCAAAAACATCTCATTTTGTTCAGAATTCAATTCTCTATCGTTCTAGAGCATTTTCAAAAAGTTTGGTTGTTGTGAAGATTTTCTGAAGATCCGGTCTCTAGAAAACCCTCTGAATGGCTTTTAAAAAGCCATCGTTTTTAGCCTATTTGACGCCATTTCCATTAAATTTGAACGAAAAAATCGAGACTTAGTCGAAAACGACCTGACCTTTTTTCGCTTCGTTCCAAAGAAAGTCGTTTTTCTCCGCATGAAAGATGGATTTCAAAACTCGGCACACATACTTTTAAAGTTTGTTTCAGGGCGATTCTTTTTGCGTATGACTCAATGCGATAGCTCTTAACACGAAAAACTAGATACAGTTACAAAATGGATCACTCCGTTTTGAGACATACTGGTTCGGACGTCTATGTCGGACGAGTGCTTATCTCTGGGATGATCTAGACAGCTTTTTCCTAAATCGATTTTTGACGCTGAATCAGAAAAATATAGTTAGAATTTTCCAGCTTGCGATACAACTTTAAAAAAATCACTTTTATGATGGGGGCGGTTTTTGAGGCTTTTGAAGTCTTCACAGTTTTTCACATTTTTCTTCATGAAGAAAGAGCTTTTAAGAGCTGCGATGGTGATACTTGAGATCAGCTCGATGTGGCGAATCAGAATATGTATAATAAAGTCAGAAAAAATTGTTACTGCAATTTTGAATTAGCTTAGATAGTTCACATACATGTATGTTTGGTTATATATATGCACAGAATTCGCTGCGAACTGGTAACGAGACTACTCAGTTTGAGTTCGCAGCGAGCTTATATTGTGCACAGTATGCAATAAAGTCAGAAAAAATTGTTACTGCTATCGTTAAATGATGACGAGTGTCACGTAGTTATCTCTCGTTCCGTAAGCAGACAAAATAAACGGTATCGCGACCATTCCTATTATCGTTACTGACTACACCATGTAAATATTGTGTCGGTCTGCCTTCTTCAAAAAACTGGGCTTGTACTGTCATCCATGAAGTGACACTTCAGAACTTAAACACTTAAAATGACATTTAACTCTGTGCACACACTTAAAGCCACTTAAAGTGAGGCTTTTCCTCCTTGCGTTTTTCCTTCTGAATTTGAAAGTCTATTTTTCTCTTTTCATACCCATATACAGTAACTACTTGACTACATGATGACGCACAGATATCCAAAATATATATTACCCTCCGGTGCAGAAAAGCTATTTCAGAGATAGCCGCAAGATCCAAAATATTAAAAGATGGATCAAATTCTCTCACTTAACTTCCACACTATATTTATCTTACTCAATTTTGGACGCTCTTTCGAATGGCTTAGTTAGAATTTCTTTTTTCAGTCACTCCTAGCTGAGATGGGGCAGTCACAGTGAAGAGTACGGCACTTTTGGCTTAAAGTCGCGTTTTCACTCTAAGAAAAAAGCTTTTCAAAATTTTTTTTGCCAAAATGTAGCCCGCGCTCTGTTCTATCCATTGATGTAGTTTTCATAGTTTGTCGGTGCTTATACAGCGTAAAAAATGGTTTTTATCAATCGTACAAATACTTTTTGCCAAAAAACACATACACCTCTCTATTGTTCTATCTGCAGAAGGCCTAGTGATTGCAAAATTTTACCAAAAACAGCAGAGCCAACGGGCATTCTCCTGGTAGGTTCACAATTTTAAAAAACACCTTCGTTGCCGAGTTATGAGTAAAATAATATCATATAAATACTTTTTGTCACTACTGTATGTGGGTGACGAAAACCGAGATGTGCATATTCTTTTTAATTATAATACAACGAGAAGAAAAGGTAAAAAATCGTCATGTTTCATTGCTTTCTTACAGGTGAGCAAAATGTATGCACATTGCGTTTACGTGATGACACATTACACTGTCATGATGACATTTTTCTGTCTTTTGTCGTCATTCTTACTGTTCTCCTTCTGTCTGGCGCAATTGTATTCTCATATATAATTTCGATCACAATCTCATTTTTTTAGAACAATTTTCAAGATATACTCAAGGTAAGCACAACGAAATAGTTCCAGTCAATAGTTTACTGTAAATATAGAAAGCCATGCATTCACAGGGAGTTCTTCTCTTTAACTGCTCAAGAATTCGATCCTGAAACCTAGTTGTACTCAAACCACCTAAGAGGATCGTATAAAACTTATGTAACCGTTCTCGCCCGATTACTTTTTCCATAGTTACTGATCAATCAAACCTTGTTGATCTCATACGAAATTCGATCGTCACCTAATAAAATCTTATTGCACAACAGAAGGTATTTTTCCGCTTATCTCCCATCCGTTCTTACTTTTGCTTGCTGCAAGTGTAGGACATTTCCTGAGGCAGAGGCAAATCGCCCGCGAAATTTTCCCACAAAAAAGGAGTGAAGTGTACGGATCGAAATAGCCTATACATAAATAGACATCTAAGATCAACCCGAATGATTCGACATTCAGACGTTGAAGCGTCCGATTTTTCTGTGCTGTTCTCTCCTCAAATGACTGGTAGCATTTCCTGGTTAATTGCATAGCTTTATGCAATACTCTAAGGTAAAAAGCTCTAGTATTGATATATTACACGCACTAGGCAACAAAGCAACTTGTCGATCTTGTTTTTATTCTCATTTGCCTCAACAGAACAGGTACGGGTCAGAACATGCGTTAAATAATGACAGTGACACGGGTGTTCTCTTTTATATCCTAGTGAGAAGTATCACATGATATTCATTGTGCAAAGCGCAACCTTCTTGCATATCATTCTACCCTGTGTTCTGATCGTGTTGATTTTATGTTATAGTCTAAACAATGCACCGTGGTAGAAGAGAACTCGTGCCGTACAATCACATTCAAGGATTTGCTTCGACAAATGTACCAGCTTATTCGAATGGTGACGATAACTTCTTTTCCAATGAACGACACTATGTTCACGGCATATTTACAGGATTTAAATGGCAATGTGTTGAATTTGCTCGTCGATGGTTGTTGATGCGCAAAAGTTGTATATTTCGAAATATCAGATCTGCTGCTGACATATGGAGTGATCTAATCAGCATTGAACGAGTCACCGACGGTCAGCATTTTCCGTTGAAAGCCTTTCGTAACGGTTCTCCACACAAACCTAAAAGTGATTCATTGCTCATTTATCCTCGCCATTCATCGGAACTACCTTTCGGACACGTCGCTATCATATGTGAAGTTGGATCGGAGTTTGTTTGTATTGCCGAGCAAAATTATCGTTTTCATCATTGGTCAAACAAGAACTATGCTCGTCAACTTCGTTTGACTTTCAAAAATGATCTTTACTATATCGAAGATTATTATGAAATTAGCGGTTGGATGGAAATTGGTGGGAGCAATCATTTAGAACCGTTCGATGAATCCAAAGTTAATTCCATTCTTGAACAGTACAAACAATGATAATTGATAGGTGAATTGAAATCTTGTTTTGTTCAGAGTCAAATTCTAGATTTAGTAGAATCTCATTATTGAAGATATTGTTTTAATAAAGGCATGACCGATCAAGCTTTCCAAAGCTCACAACTTTTCAGTTGATATACCAACCAGATGTATGTCAGTAGTAAAGAGATTTGCATTTTCAATCGCCCAGGCAACCAACTACGCTGCTATAGCGTATTCGTCGAGACACTATGGTATCAAAAAGACTGTTCTTTTTCTAACTCTTCCATGAAAAAAAACTATTTTTGACATTTCAATAGTTCGAGAGCAAAAATATGCATTTCTATTGGAACTTTTAAGAAATTCTGAAGACCATGAGACGTATATTTCGCTGAAATTTCTTCCTTTATCCAGTCTTTATTGCATTTTTGTCACTGTGACACTGGTGATTCTTATCTGTGCAGGTTTTCCGCGCATTTGTGCTGAACCGCTCGTATTTGACGCAAGTTTTTGTGCGTGCTGGTATTGTACCGTGTGAGTGAAAATTTCGAAAAAAATATACTTGAATGAGATTTTTCTTCCTTTATTAGATTATATATTGCAAACATTGGTGATTAAAGGAAAACAATTTTCCGACTGTCAGTCTCTTTGTTCTCTTAAAATTCAGTTTTTTCTTTAACATAGCTACTATCCGTTCCGGACCGCGGTCATTATTGTTTGAATAACTGAAAGGGAATAAAAGATAACGACTTGTGCTTTTCACCATTCGATAGCCAAGACTTGAGGCTACCTTTCCATGAGCAAAAAAAAACGAATTTTGGAAAATTTTCGAAGCCGGTTTTCCAGAGAATCTTTGGAAAATCAGTTCGGTTCTCTTAAATCTGACATAAATCTATGGATTTGTTTCACAGATATATAGTCCAAAGTGTCCTCTACAAAAGTGGACCTAAGTGAAATCTTGGAAATCCGTGGCTCGGGAGCTATGGACGTTTTTCCTGAAGTCCTAGCACTCAGTTAGGTTCGGGACTGTCAGAAATTAATGAAAACATAGATGATCGACTATGCTGAATCTCGCGTCAATGTTGATTTTCAGAAAAAAATGCAAGAATCGAGCGAAAACCTAATCGTTTTCTTATGAATTTTCTACAAGATTCTACCCACTTCTTATCTAATTCTTATGTGAATCAATTTTCATAGATGAAAACGAAACTAGTTTGAGCTATGTAATTTTTTCTTCATTTCATAGAAAAAGGCTTCAACGCAACACAAGATAAAAAGATGATAATGAAGAAAAATGTTATACCCATACTAAGAAATTACATCGGTTTTCTTATTATTATAAGTTTGTCGTTTGTTGCTTCGTTCACACCGTGTTTAAACTACAATAACCCATGTTGTCGAAACCGGACGAAAACCAGCGGTTGTTTCAGCTGAAACCACATCAACCCAGCAGAGAAACCGACGGTAAACCTCACAATTAACCGGAGAAACAGTCAGTTAGCCGCGATTTACCGCCAGTTTTCGTCCGGCTTCGACAACACGGGAAGTTAAAATAAGAATGAATGCCCGTAAACAGATACCTATAAACAGTCGAAAAACTTATTCTGAGTTATTTTGTAGTTTGAACGTAGCCATAGAAACAATGAAACGATTCTGCGACCTAAGCATCATGAGACAAGAGCTAACCGAATTACATACTTCAAAGTAATAAATGAAAATTACATTTCATAAATGTCAGTTTGACAACATTGTTTTGGCGTCTGACACATTTTTGAGAATGATATGAATTCTGTCGTATATTCACATGTCAAAAAAAGAACCAAAGTGTGATTATTTTCCTAAGTATGTATCACTCTTTTTGAAGAAAGAAAGTGTAACAAAAACAATTACACGGAGTTGAGAATAAGAATGAATAAAAGACAGCTCTATTCTCAAAAATTCCAGCTCCAACTCCAACTCCACTTAAAAACCGCTCAACTCGGAAGCGTTCTAGTTGGAGTTGCCCAGCCCTGCTGAGAAAAATAATATTAATAGTGATGTGTGACAGGTACTTATACAATGAGGTACTAAAGAGATAGGAGAAGCTGAATCAACAGAATCCGACCCTATATATAAATAATAACAGAATACCATTCAAGAATCAGAGACGTGATTGAGGAAATAGCAAAAGTGGCCATCAACTTGAAATGAAGAACAAATGAGATAAGAAATCAAAAGTGAAGGACAAGCTGATTATGTTTTTACTCCTCGTTTTTATTCAATGACGCTATCAAAAGCGATCGTCATCGTATCAATGTCAAGAGTCAAGTTATTAAGTAAATAAATTATCGAATATGAATGACATGCTAATTCGGATGACCTTAGATCGAAAATCTTTTCTAATTCCTGTGAAATGGGTACAATCACGAAGAAAGTGATCAATCGTTTCACGAATATGCACTATAGGGTTAATTAACATTTACTTTACCAAGATTTCGTCTTTTCTAGAGTAAGAATATGAGTAATATGTTTGACTATGATTTGACTCTTATATCTCAAAATACAAAAGAGAAGAAACTAATATCAATGGATGTATAACATTTCCGATCGATTTATTACAAAATGAATCAACATCGACTCGAAATCGAAGACATTCCAGTTCGACATTAGCATACGCAATACAAAACGGTCAATATCTATCAAATGAACCGATTTGAGTATACTTCAAACGATGATGTCATTGGAAGAAGATTATCTAGCTATATTTTATGTTCTGATGCTGTATGTAACAATCAATATTTGCATTTGCGGCTATTTGAAAATTTACAAGATTTATTAAGTGAACTATCTGTCATTCATTAACAATGGATATTATAGGCATATGCAAAAACAACGAAATACAATTTTCCAGATTGTATCAGTATTGATGAATAAAAATGTAAGTTGGCCTATTTGTTATTTATTTCGTAAAATGATTGAAAATAATAATAATCATTTAACAGAACAAGTTTGATTGAAAATGGCGAATCTTTTGCGTGATAAATGAACAACCGACGTTTGAGCGAGCGACATTTGAGCGACCCAACATTACCGCGAACAGAATTCGATCCTTCCACGAAATTTTCGTAGTACACATTTCGGTTAGCAACTGTTCTGTATTGCATATTCAGTTAGTTTGTGCATTTGAAAATTTATTTCAAAATTAGAAATTTCAATTATTAACAAAATCATGTAGACAAAAATTGATTGATGCATTTGAAGGATGTGTAGAACAAGAAAAGATTTTTAAATGGGTCATAAAAGCTTTGCTTGCTGTTGTTACTAGTGGTGAAGAAATCAGACTATAGTCTTTGTATATATACAAAGACTAAAAAATCTAATTCAAAATAGTGATGATGTATTATCGGAAAATATTCTTAGACTTGTCGAATTATTGAATCCCAATGAAACAAAATATTTCTCACCTAATAATTCTACGACAATAACTTCAAATGAAATTCGAATGGAAACCACTGTCAATCATACAACAACAGTTGAACTTACGCAAGAACTAATTCAAGAACCACCATCAAATTTTATTGATTATTTAAAAGATAAAACAGGTCATATTGATCATTATTGTACATGTGAATCGGAACCAAAATCTGTTCTTACTGTTAATCATTTATCATTTTTACGTTCAACTATGCCTGAAATTCAAAATCTATTAACAATTGCAAGACATGGTGAATTAAGAAAAAGTGATCTCCTGTATTTGAATGGTAAACTATCCGGGATGGCCATTAGAAATTATAGTAAATTTAGTTGATCATTTAGTTAAACAAAAATGTTCTACAGAAATGTTACGATTATGTTCAGAAACATTATTAAAAAATGTGCATAATCGACAAGATTTTAATAATGATATTATTAGTAAAATCGAAGATATTTTAATAAATACAAATGATACAATGATTAAAAAACATCTTCTCGATATTTTAGTTAATCGGGTTGAAAAAGGCATTCGTAAAATGCCATCATTAACAAATCTTGAAGATAATGTACTAGAACCAAACACATGTTTAGCAACACGTTATTTATTCTTACGTGCTTCAACAAATCAACGACTATCATCTAAACCATTACTGAATCTCACCATTGTTAGTGTAAATAAAAGTGGCCTTTATAAGTCCAGTGAGAGACAAAATTGTATTTTAGCATTGTATTCCAGTTTAAAAATTCAAAATATAGCTGTTTCCTGGAATATGCTTAACAAACTCGAAGCTACATTATTGGATCAAAATACGGAATCAAACAAGCCATTGTATGTCTCTTTATTGTTCGTCGGCAGATTTATCACCCAATACATACAATAACTTAGAACATATTTTACATGAAGAGTATGATCATGCTTATCATCGAAGAAATATGTCTGACGTATAGGGATTTTCAAATGCAAAATTTATTAAATGAAAGCTGCGTCCTGACAACCGAACCGTAAAGTATAGTATTACTACAACTCACTTTCAATGAAGTTATTCCCACGACTTATAGCTTTCATCAAATTAATTCAAGTGACAAAAAATCGTGTATTTTCCTTGAATATTTAGTCTTAGCTAACATTGACGGTGATCACCTTAATGGAACTCTTTGCATTATTCAATGCTAATTTTTTCCTTTTTCCTGAGTTCCATAATAGAGTTGTTTTTTTGAAACAAGACATTTCTCATGCCTCAACGTCTTTCATAAAATGAGTGTTACTATGCGTTTATTTTCAAAGATTTGATTCTCATGCAACTTCATGTTCAGTCGTTTTATTCTCTACTTGCTTCTCAGGAAAATATTCCTGTAGAAGATGAAGAAGGTTGGTTGCATATTTCTCGTATCCACGCCTATTTAAGTGCACATGATCCTCAAAATCTGCGTGTTCATAATGACCAAGTGATACGATCCTTACATCTTTCTCTGCACAAACTCGAGCGTAAACTTCATTCGCTATAGTAACTTGAGAGTTAAGATGATCGTTACGCTCCAATATTTGACAAACAACCACTTGGTTATCATTAGTCCGCACACGATCGATTAAACGACTAATTCCCGCACGCAAATTAGCTTCCGTACAGTCTTTTCTATCTAAATCATTCGTCCCAACTAGCAGCATGACCAACTTTACTTTTTGTATTCTTGGCGACTGTCCGATAAGTCCGTTGTCAAGTCGATAATGTACGTGTCGAATTCTATCACCTCCCACACCGGCATTGAAAACACCATACTGGTGGAATAACCGTTCGAAATGGGTATGATACTGTGGTTGCCACGAGAGTCGTCCAAACAGTGAGTCACCAAGTAGTAGAACATTGTAGTCCTTATCATGTATTTGCAAGAAAGCTAGTTGCAGCTTATTTTCTTGTTCAGAGCGCTGTTTCCAAACTCCGGTGTCATAGTTGATCGCATATTTTGACATGATTCCCAAATATTGTTTTTAGTTATAAACTACAGTCTAAATTAATAATTGATAGGTAAGACTAAAAACGGAAAAGACAAACTCTCTCAAACTAACAATAATTGACCTGAGCATGATTGATAGGTCGAAACAAAAATCCTTCACAAGTAGTTCAGCGTACTCTCATTCAACAGTCCAGACTCTGCCGTCGAATGTGAAGATTACGGTCAAAATGAAGTGTGGGAGCTCGAAAGGATTGTAGGATTATATCCGATAGGATGCTGCGCTTATAACGTACTGCTACGACAGCGTAGTGGCTCCGCTGAGAATAAGAGAATACATGGATAATTTAGATTTGCTGTAACTGCGATTGCCGAAAGAATATCATATTAGAAAGTTTACCCAGCAAAAACTGAGTTTGCTCAAAGTCAGCAGTTACTGGGCACATCCGCTTTTAAAGTATTTTTTGACGACTGTGTCTACTGAAAATTTATCTCAAGTTTCAACAGTTTATAGGGAGGAAAAATATGCCTCGATGTGTAAATATGCAGTTGCTGTGAACATCTTTAAAAAAAGCTTCTTAAGGGCACCCCCGCTCCTTTCCAGTAAGGAATAGTTTATAAGTAAAGAATAGTTTATCGTGGATCCATTATTTTTTCAGTATAAATAGATCTCGATCAGTTATGAAAAAGTTGTGCATAGTGTGCCTCTCCAAAACGCGTACTTTCATTTTAATAAGGGTCACTAGAGGCAAAAACAGCTATTCCTCGTGCCGCGGTTTCCACCAGAAAGAATTGACCAATAATGCCCAAAATTTTGTTATAGATACAACTCATCGAAAACTAGGAGAACTTTTTCCCAGACTTCATTTTATTTTGACAAAAATGTCAAAAACACGAAATAATATGCAAACATACCACACTTTCCGGCATACTAAATTTTTAAATCTTTAAATTTTAAATTTTTATCTAAGAACGGAATCATATGTTTGAACTGTGGTAAAATTCTGAGCCTCAGAATTTGATGATTTTTTTCTAGAGAAGCGGTATTTGAGATTTTTATATATTCGGAATCAGCGTGATGAGTTACGTTGTACGGTGCAAAGATCTCGTCGGGATACACGCAAAAATGGGGTCTTAGGAGTCCCACTTAGAATACCACTGTATTCAACGGTATAGTTCATCGTTCAACTTCAAACATGCCGCATTTTATTCGTTCTGCTTGTAGTGTAATTTTTCTTTCTGTCTCATTTTTTCCCATTTCTACGCATATATAGAGACAGATATAGAAAGCAAGAAAGTGAAAAGTGAAAACATTCTTCTTTTCATAAAAATGCTCAGGAATTGACTTATAAGACGGTCTTATAAGTCAATTCCTTCTAGTCGAAACCGTAACACGGGATATTGATCGAGGTGGAAAATTTGTGATAATGGACAAAATTGATTACATTAACAAGATTGAAGAAAAATAGAATGATACAAATGTATAAGAACATGTGAAGCAAGACAACAACAATTAAAAGAGAAATTAGTAAAAAAAGTTACAAAATTATTGAAACAAAATAAAGTTATAGAACAAAGTAAATATTATTTAACATCAATTGATGATATATCAAAAATTCGTGATTAATCCAAATTACATAAGAACAATGCACCAATGAAAATTGTTACTTGTTCAAGAGACACTATCACATCACCATTATCTCAATTTAGGTTCAAATTTATTAAAGAATTAAGAACAACATTAAATGGAGTAGTATGTAGTACATCAAGTTTTGTTAAAAATATTTCAAATATTAAATTAAATCAAGACGATTATTTAGCAAGTCTTGACACTCAAGTTTTATATACAAACATAACAATTAATAAGGCAATTGACATCACATTAAAACGTCTTGATGAATACAAGAAATTAGTCACTTTACCATTTACCAAAACTGATATTAAAGATTTATTGAATTTTGCTTTAAAAAACAATGACTTTAGAAAACAATGTATGTTTGTATATAAAACTTGAGTGTCAAGACTTGCTATAGTAACGTTTCGTATCTCGATGAGATACTTCTTCAAACGTTAAATTTAAGACAAATCATTTAACATATAATAACCTAAAATAAGAACAAAACAAACAATTTTCTTCTACTTTTCTTTCTTAGTCATTCTCTGATAGCGATACAGAAAACAAGACGGTAATAGGTACAGCTAGATGGAGATTCAATCCTTTTCTGTATCGCTATCACTGTCTTGTTTTTCGATACTTCTTAGCTCTTGTATACTTATTATAATTTTCTTTGAATTTGTTCTTTGGTTTTATGTAAGATTGGTGTCCATGCTGCATCCATTTCATCATGTATATTGCTTGATTCACTTATTATTAAATAAATTGCTTCTTTTGTGCGTCTTTTCCAATAGTCTTTTCCTTCATTAATAACAAATGCATCATTTGTATCAAATAAACATTGAAATTTCTTGCTAATGTTGTATCATGAAAATTCAATTTATTATTTTGTTCAAATTCGAAGGGAGATCTAATCGTTCCACGTATTTTATTTAATTCTTTTACATAATCATTAAATTGTTGCTCACTCATTTTTGTGATGATTAAAATATCATCTACATATCTCCAGATTTTATTTGGACTGTTGACTTGATGTAGATGGTGTTGTTGATAATCGTCCATATAAATGTCTGCCAATATTGGTGATAATATATTACCCACAGGTAAACCTGTTTTTTTGTGAAATTAACCATTAAATTGAAAATCATTGTTTTTTAAAGCAAGATAATCGTATGAAACAACATTCAAAAACAATAAATGATACTGAAAATGATAGTAATTCAGATATGATTAAGCATTTTCAAGAAAAGAAATTTCAATGTTTATTTGATACAAATGATGCATTTGTTATTAATGAAGAAAAAGACTATTGGAAAAGACGCACAAAAGAAGCAATTTATTTAATAATAAGTGAATCAATCAATATACATGATGAAATGAATCCAGCATGGACATCAATCTTACATAAAACCAAAGAACAAATTCAAAGAAAAATTGAACTAATGAGGGAATCTCTCGAGGTGATTAAAAGCTTTTCGACTCAGACTATTTTCATTATGTAGGGAATAGTCAGCAATGAAAAATCCTAAGTTGGTTTGGGCCCATGCGCCTTTTTGAAGGAGATATGAATTAATTAATGAAAATGCCATTAACAATAATTAATTAATAGCTCACGATCATGATCAGCTAGGAGTCGGAAAATTTCACCACAGTTGAAGATAGATGTTATCTACTCACTGCGACACTTTCAGGCTTATAAACCAAAGCTTTTGCAAGATATGAATTTTTTATGATTTAGACAGCTTTTAGTGAAAATTCACCATTGAAAACCTAAAAACTTGTTATCACCTTTTAGATACCTCTATCGACTCGGTAAAAGCTTGTTTCATTTAGATATAGGTCCCTAAGAACCCCTGAGCTTCTACAGCGTGAACAGAGGTACTTAAAAGGTGATAACAAGTTTTTAGGTTTCCAATGGTGAATTTTTACTAAAAACTGTCTAAATCATAAAAAATTCATATCTTGCAAAAGCTTTGGTTTATAAGCCTAAAAGCGTCGCAGTGAGTAGATAACATTTATCTTCAACTGTGGTGAAAATTTCCGACTCCTAGCTGATCATGGTCGTGAGCTATTAACTAATTATTATTAATGGCATTTTCATTAATTAACTCATATCTTCGTCAAAAAGGCGCATGGGCCCAAACCAATTTGGGATTTTTCACTGCTGACTATTCCCTACATGATGAAAATAGTCTGAGTCGAAAAGCTTTTAATCACCTCGAGAGGTTCC